CCGGCCCCGCCCCCGGCCCCGCCTCTCCGCCCGCAGAGCAGCGAGCTTTCGTTTCCCACCTAAAGGAAAGTGAAACCCAGCGCGGAGGGCGGGGAGGGCGCGGAGGGGCGGGGTTGGGGGGCCCGAGGCGACCCGCCCCTGGTCCCCGGGGGGCAGACGCCTAGCTGGTTCGTCTGCATCGTGCATTTCAGCGTTTAAAAACCTGTAGTGTGTTCTCCATCTACGCCTTGGGTCTAGGGTTACTGGAACACAAGCTCTTTTCTACTTGACATTCTAAGATCTCAGCAACTGGATGACGATCGTTCGGCCTTTCGAGTGACCTCCGCGGCGCTTTCCTTCCCTTTCCTCCTCTCCCTTTCCCTCTGCCCCTCCCCCTCCCTTCCTTCCCCTCTTTCTTCCCTTCCTCCTTTCTTCCCTCCTGGTGCTAGACTGTAATTTCTTAGGTCGTGTGTGTTAACATCGATCCACAGCTGTAGATCCCGTGAAGCAGGGCGTGAGTAACGCGGCTGTTCCGATGCCCCGCGGAGCCACGTGGAAGAGGCCGCCCAAGGAAAAGAAAAGTGAAGCCAGCGTGATTCTCGCTGGTTTATCCTGCTAAGGTCTGCCTCGCAGATCTGACATTCACTGGGTCCCTGCCACTCGCCAGACATCTCCATTAAGCTCTGATCTATACGACAGCCTCTTAAGGCTCTGTTTTTAAATCCAAGTTTAGAGGAGAGAATATTAAATTTCAAACAGGTGAAGTGACCGGTCCAAGGTGACCGGGTTATAAAAGGGGAAGCCAAAATTCTAAAGGGGATGTCGTGTGAACACCCCTGCCATCAACACTGACTTCAGTTTTATTCCTTCATATAAAATAATAGATCATTGTAATTAGGAGCCCCCACCCATGGGCATGAAGGTATAGGTAAGGTTAAAGAACCTACCACATGCGCACATGAAAATCTTGCTAAGTCCGTGCACACGTATTTCACAGAGCAGGGGAATAGAGGGCCTTGCCAGGGTCCTCAGACTCCAGCTGCTGTCAATTTCTGCAGGAAATCCGAATGGGATCTCCTCCCAAGTGCGCATTACAGTATTTCCGGTGTAAGAGGGAGACACCCCTACACCCCTAGACTCAAAGTAACCAGGACTTTTCCAGTGCCAGTAAGGTCTGCAGTAAAGGTACGCATTCTGTTCAGAATATCACAAAGTAGAGATATACCTGTGTGTCCATAAAGTGTGCATGTTGGACGCGTGAACACACATCCATAAGCTGAGAGTCCTCTTTCCTTCTATAGAAACGGAGGGCAATAGTGCACACACAGCATATTGTCGCTGAAGCTCTGTTTGAGGGTGTACAACATGGGACACAATGGTGAGCGCAGAGAGGAGCCTCAATACAGCTGCTGACCAATCGGTTATATAACTAGTTTCATCTATGTGCTAAGCCTTGTCCATGAAAAGGAAACTCAAAACCTCCGGAGTTGAAGGAACAAAGAGAGGATGTTGCCAAATTTGATACAATTTGCTAAATATTTCAAGCCTGTAGAGTTCTGGGGAACAAGTTGTATCTGCTCCCTGTGATTATTAAAGGTCAATGTGATTAATTCTATTTGAATCTTGATAGTTCAATGGAATGAAGTAATTGGTGTTACAAAGATCAATCTTGGTCTGGGCATGGTGGCGCACGCCTGTAATCCCAGCACTCGGGAGGCTGAGGCAGGAGGATCGTTGCAAGTTCAAGACCGGCCTGGGCTACAAAGTGAACTCTAGGCCAGCTTGAGCTACATGTAGAGATCCTGTCCCAAAAAGACAAAAAAAAAATCAATCTTGGGAACAGGGACTGAGCTACATAATAAAATGATCCACTACAATTATCATGAGGGCTCTTCCTCTGCCCTTTCCCTCCCTTCCCGTGCCCTCCTGAACAGTTCAGTGCCAACCCCCTCGGGTGGGCAGAGTTCCCCAGTGGCTCTGGGGCTGGGTGCTGGATCCCAAGCAGGGTGAGAAGGTGTCCATACACTAGAGACCAAAGAACCCAGCTGAGGGTCTGGATTCCCTGGCACTGTCCTGAATGAGTCCAGCTGAAGACCTAGAGCTCATAACAGTGCCCGCCATGAGTCCAATTGGCGGCTTAGAGCCCTTGACAACGTCTCATGCTGGATCTCCGCTGGGAAGGCCCAAAGGTCAGTGGTAGAGGCTAGAAAGTCTGTGGCAATGGGATGAAGGATCTGCGCTAGCAGGCTGAGGAATCTGCACTGGAACCAGGAAAGAATGCTCAAAGTCAGAACCAGAGCTCCCCTGAAAGGTACCACAGCCATCCTCAGCGACAGTGAGGTCCCGAGCTCCTCTGACGATCAGTACAGCCAAATTCCCATCAGGAAAGCCAACACAACAAGCTTCTCCAGGAGACTGAGCAGTAAGTACCCCCTCTTCCCCTCCGGAGCCAGGAAGTGATGCTTGGAGTGAGGACCAGAGCTCCCGCAAAGTGAACCGAACCTATTCTCAGTGCCAACAAGGTCCCGAGCTCCTCACAGGATGAAAACAGCCGAGTTCATCAGAAAAGCCAGCATGACGAGCTCCTCCAACAGGACCAACAGCTCTTTCCAGCTTCTCTCAGCTTCCAAAAGGCTCCCAACAGCCTCTATCAGCTCCCGACAGCCTTTACTCTTCTTCTCCAGCTCTGCCTCTTATGCTGCTGGCAACAATCCCCAGGTGGGCCTCCCACACCCAGCACCACGCAGGTTAAGTGCAGCTGGGCGTTACAAGTTGCCCGCCAGTTGTCAGTCCACCTCAGTCAGTCACCCTGGGTCTTGCAGGTCAGAGAGGAGCAGCTGCTCTATAAACGAACCAGTGTCTGCCTCTCACCAATTCTCCCCGTGATGCCGAAGAACCCACTCGGATACAGACTCTGGTAATGCATTTCCCCTTGAAAACCAGAAAGACTTGTTCATTGTTCAAGAAAGACATCAAAAAAAAAAAAAAAGAAAGACATCAAATGGAGATCTGGCATCAGCAGCCATTCCTGAAGAAAGCAGACTTATGGCCGAAAAGAAATCTGAATCAGAAGATCCTCTTTCATCCTGCTTTTCCTGAGGAAACTGAAGAGTCCAACTTCCTCTAAATATTGCTATGCAAATGCTCCTGTAACTGAACTTGTTCTAGGGAGTAGTTTCTACCCTTTACTTAGGATTTTTTGCCCTTTACAGAGTATGTAAAACAGACCAACAAAAAACAACCTGCAGAGCCAGGTGTGGTAGAGCACATGTGTAATCCCAGCAGTTGGGAGGCTGAGGCAGGAGGATCGTTGCTAGTTTGTGACCATCCTGGGCTACAAAGTGAGCTCAAGGCCAGCCTGAACTGCATAGTGAGACCCTGTCTCAAAAAAAAAAAAAAAAAAAACAAGGGCTGGGGATTTAGCTCAGCAGCACAGCGCCTGCCTGGCAAGTGTGAGGTCATGAGTTCAATTCCCGGTACCAGAAAACAAACAAACAAAAAAATGCATACTTTTGAAATGTGTTTTATCTTTATGTAGTTTATTTGCAAGAGTATTTTCCTATGTATGTAATATTACATTACACCTACAAATAATATAATTAATGTAAATGCCAATGGCAAAAGGGGGAAGAAATACCTGTCCAGTAGCTGTGAGAATTGTCATCTGTGATGGGATAATTGCAATTGTATGCCATCTGATAGGATGAAAGGAAAAGGTCACAGTCTCTCTTCTGTGACATTTCTGTCATATATGCCCACATGCACCTTTCCAGGAGGAGGCGCTGGAGTGACCCAAGCTGAGAGACGTCCTACAAAGCAGCCAGCCTGCAATATGCAGAAGTGGCAGAGTCATGGGAATCAAAGAAAGGTTTGAATAGTTCCACACTGACAGGGACCACAGGGGTCACTAGAAGCAACAGGAGGCGCCCAGCGGGACCCTCCGCCCTGGAAGACAGTCCTGAGACAGCCCGTGTGACCCTAGGGAGTGGTAATTTCACACTCAGGCCATGGGGAAAACCAGACGTCTCAATGAAAACTTTTCCTTAGATTGTTCAAGAAAAAAGTTCTCGAGCTATACTCGCAGTTTTCCTGCAGGCTCAATAACGTCTCCAAGTTTAAAATGTAAAAAGTAAATATTATGGGTTGATATATTTGCCTGAAGACTATTTACAAGAATGTGACTTTTTAAAACATTGGTTAAAAGATTTCTCAATATCAGGCAAGAAGCAGTTTAAATGGAGAGTACATAATACTTGTTTTAAAGGAAAATATGGGCCCTGAGAAGCATTTTCTGTAACTTGTACCATGCATGTTAAAGTCAACGTTTGCCTATTTTAGGTATTTTTAGTGTCACTGAAATTCTCCTCTGAGTTTATTACTCCTTTTTTAAAAATCTGAAGTATGAGAAAAGAGGCCACGCCTAACCACTTCACTTGAGAATTCTGCCTGAAAACTTGCTCACAGAGGAAAATGCTGGCTGACTTTATGAAATAATCTAGTTTTCCTTCAAGGCAGAAAGCTACTTACAAAAAAATAATAATAAAAACACTGCTGGAGGTGAGGAATAATTTAAGGAAAAGGGTAGGGCTTGCTGCATATGTAGGGGTACTTCATGATTTTAAAAAAAGAAATAAAGGCCGGGGATCTTGCTCAGCGGCACAAGCGCCCGTCTGGCAAGTGCAAGGTCCTGAGTTCGATTCCCAGCACCAAAAGCAAAAAGAAAAAAAAAGATGAAGCGATTAGTCTGGCAACTTTAGCTCTTCCTTACAAAACTCATTTCCCCGCCGACACATGGGGCTTCCTGTGTTTTGTCCATTCCCTCCCACAGTTTTATTTCTTTTCCTGCTTTTTGCCTAGACAGTTTGTGCTTTCAATTTTACTATTAAACAATAAACTTCTTTTTTAAAGAGTACAA